CCGCATAGGAATTTCCCAGGATTTTCCCAGGAATTTACAGCATAAATTTCGAATAGAATTCCCAAATTCGTCCCAAGCAATTTTCTGCTTAGAATCGAAACAAAAACATTGTGTGAGAACGCGTGCATTTCTTCAGTTGTAAAAATTCTAACTTAAAATCAAGACTAGAAAAGATATTACGAAAAATGTCGAAGATGCTTAGAATCGCGCACTCGAAACACATTACACTTCTAACTTGAATCAAGAAAATCGCACTAGATCCTAGGAAATTTTCTACGCGGAAAATGAAAAGATGATAGCGGGGAGAGCGTTCTTCCTTTCTCCCTGAATAAGCAGAGGCATCACTCGCACGTAATAAAGCCTAATGAAAAATTAAGTCCGGACACTTCGAAAGGCGCGCCAAGCCGGTGGTCGATAAATCGAGAATCGGCAAAATACAGCGGGACCGGCACGCGAGGCGCTCCCTCATTTTCGTACAAAATAGAGCGACCCGAGAATCATCTTCGGGCTCTGGCGGGCACAACCAGCTTAATTTGGTCAAAGGAGACGGAATTTCCGGTTCTTATGAGTCAAATTCGGTTCTGAGAATCAGAAATTCTGTTCCCTTCGATAGAAATTTTGCCAGAAGCGAATTTTTTTTTTTTTAGTTCACAAGAAGCAGAAATTCTATTTTTTTTTTTTCAATCAAAACGCGTTTGCTTCGTTATCGTTATGTGAATTCAATCAGTTCTTTTTTCTTCATGTAGCACAAACTTCCATCTCGAAAGCATTCCTTCGTTGCACTTCTATCGTGTAAAATAACGTCCCTTCTCGTCAAAAGTGTGTCGTATGTCATTATATACAATGATGATGATGAGCTCACGTGAGAGATGACGGAAGCGATCGGTTATTAAGCTCGAGTGACTTTAGCGCTGAAAAACGGTGCGGAATGTCCGAGGCGCGTCGAAAGGGCATCGAACGGAGTTACAACTGTTTATTAATTATATTAATATCCATTAGTCGCAAAACTCCACTTTCGGCAACTACAAACGCATCACGTCGTGACTGAAATGCGCGAGTAACTTGGGACCGGAAGAGAATCTTGACACATTGCTGACTGGTCGCGAGAATGCTCGTGATCTACTATAATCGAGTATATCATTGGCCGGTCATCTTGTGCCTGGACAGTGGCTGAACAAGATTTAGAACAGAGTGCTGGACAATGGCAACCCTCAAGATAACAGTCGATCAGCAATGTGTTAAGCGTCGTCGAGGAGATAATCTCCGCGAACGGAATTCGAAGCCTTATCGATGCGCTCGGCCACACCTCACTCCTTCTAACGACGGTACCCGGTCGGTGAGAATTATGATATAGCAAGTCGGTAGTAAAACCCTGTGCAAGACAGCAGTACACGGAGAGAAAAGTGTTTGATTGAACGAAATAATCTTCTGGTGAGATCTAAACGATTCAGAAATTTCGATTCAAATTGTCAGAACTGTCTAAATTATCGAGAATTATTAGAAATTATTTTCATTTCCACAATTAACTCAAATAGAATTCTGGTTTTATCAACTGGAATTTCTGACTCGTTTATATTTCTCCAGAAAATTAATTCGTTCAATCAAACATTTTTTTCTATGTAATCTCGAGCTTTACACGGTGTGTGTATCACGCATAAATCACACGCACGCTCGTCTCTCTCCTCTCTCTCTCTCTTTCTCTCTCTCTCTCTCTCTTTCTCTATCTTTCTCAATGTATGTTATATCGTTCATTCATACATTTCGCAAAGAGTGCGAAAAAGCGCGAGCGATGTAAAAGCCGTCGAAAGGGTTTCGCTTGTTCCATCACTTGCGATTCCGCTGGCTTTCTCCCTCCCTCTCTCCCTCCCTCCCTCCCTCTCTCTCTCTCTCTCTCTCTCTCTCTCTCTCTCCTTCTTTCTTTCTCTCTTTTGACAGACTTTCAAGTAGTTTTTTATCTTACGCTCTTACACTGGAATAAAAATAAATATTTCCGATCGCGTGTACGTGTGTGAGTACGTGTGAGTATGACAGAGTGTATGTTTGTGTCCTAGAAAAATTGTTGCAAGCTATACGTAATATGTATATCGCGTGTACTTATCTACTTAGATTATTAAGTATTCTTATCGTACGCTCGTCCGACGCGCGAGAAACCACACGATGATGTGTGTGTGTCTCCGTCTCGTCTCGCAAAGTCGTCCTTCAAAGTCGCATCCCGACGCGCCTCGGCGGCGCATCGATCTCTCTTCTTCAAGTTTTCGTTTCCGATTTTTTTTGTCTTACGTAGCGTCGCTTAAGAATCCTTAACGGCTAAAATCGGTGACTCGAATACCCCCATAGAAACGGATATATTTTACACGATCGCATGTCTCCAACTCTCTAAGATCTACGTCTCTTACGACTAAAGGCTCTAGACACCTCTCTCTCTCTCTCTCTCTCTCTCTCTCTCTCTCTCTCTCTCTCTCTCTCTCTCTCTCTCTCTCTCTCTTGCCTATTAGAAAGACTATGACTTAACGTCCTCCAAGTTCCCCGTGGGGAAGGACATATCTCTCCCCAGATTTACGCTCCTTCACCCTCCCTCGTGAATCGGAGGGGTAAAATCGAAAAGGAGAATGGACCGCGACAGGACGTTTCGCGACGTTCGCTCTCTTCCTCTCTTTCTCTTTCTTGCTTGTTCGTTCGTTCGTTCGTTCGTTCTCTCGACATCTTGTCGGAAAATAATAGGCAATTAAAGGTTTGCTTTAGACGACTTGCAATTCGCGGCAGACTTCTATTTGTAGTTTCATATGGCATACAAAAACAATCATACTTGACTATTTAGAAACGTGTAAACACATGTGTATAAATGAATATGAATTTGTTTATAAATATAATTCTGAGATTTTCGAGGCGTTTTCCTACAAATAGAATCACACTTTCAATTCTGTCGCGCGTTACGAATCATCGAAGGCGAACCTGACGCGCGAATCGACCGATTCGTCAATTTGACAATCGCAATTCGTATTTCCAGTATGTTCTCTCTTTTTAAGTGAGAAACGAGAACGGCGCTCGCTCCCTTCGCGATCGCGAACAACAATGGTGCATGATTTTCGTTGGAGAAAGAGATAAGAAGAGATTGCGGAATCGATGATTCGTGCGTTCGCGTGTTATCAGTCGCAGAGATCGATCGGCTTTACGCGGCCGAAGTAGTCTCGAAGTTGGGTCGAAGACGAAGTAGATTGTAAAAGTTTAACGAAGTGGAGGAATATTACATTGGCAGTGTTACGGTGTACGACAAATGCGACAGACAGACAGACAGACAGACAGAAGAGTGGTAAAGCGCTAAGAGACTGCGCTCGAGAGTTTCAGCAGCAGCGAGAGCGGCTCTCGACGATCTCTCGACATCGCGAGTGGCGTGTGCAATCAAGAGAGGAGCGGCTCTCCTCGTTATAGTTCGTTCGTTTGGAAGATTTTAGCTGTCGAGGGCGCGCAGCACGTCGAAACTTTCGAGCGTGACCTAAGAACGGAGCGAAGAAAAGACATGAGCGCCGGAGCGTCGCCTTGGCGATTGAAAAATCAAATCACGCTAGATTTTACATGATATTCATACGACGTACGACGAAAGCAGAGTCAAACGATACTCAACGAGCGTGCGTTCTTCACCGATACGAACGTTTTGTTTTCTAAACGAACGATATGTGAGAAAATTTACCGCGGTTTTCCGCGTGATCTTCTCGTTACCCTCTCCCTCTCCCCGCAAAAATTCGATTTCTACACGCGTAGAAAAATCTAACGGTATGTATGAGCTCTCGTCCGACGACCGAGACAACGCCGGTGACAAGTACAACTCGCGGCAACGAAGAGATTCAAAGTACTTAAACGTTATAAACTATACGATAAAAATGTTTAATGTATAATATATGTATATATATATATATATATATACATATATATATATATATATTTAACAAAATATATCTTCAATGGAATATATTCGATATTTGGCGCTCATGAAAGAAGAGTTACAACATCGTCTCCTAAATGAAACCGTTCTCTCCTGCCAAGCTCCTCTTGCTTGCCTCTCCCCCTCTCTTAGACTTAACACGACTCCGATATAAAAATTGATCGTATCAAAAAGTAAATTCGACAATAAATAATAATCGGAATTACCGTTGACGGAAAACTGTTTTCCTTTGTTAACAGACGCGGCCAGTAGTTACAATTTCTTTTCTATTTCTAATCGTTATCATAATTGATTATGTCGAGTGCTATCTCTAGCTTTCTACGTGCGCAGTAACGATTTATTCACGACTATAGAGGTGTCTTTGGTACGAAAAATATATTCGAGATGAAACGCGTATATATTATCGTGTAAAAAGGAGGGACTCTAATATAAATATATACATCTATATATACATACGCGTGTATATGTATATATATATATATATGCCTGACCACGCCTTTACAAATTAATATTTTAAATAATATAAAGACAAGTGATATATGAGTATTAAACGTCGAAAGGAAATGCATTACGTTCAAGCCAATCGACTAATAACAAATCACCGCATCATTCGTCTCTCTCAGCTCAACGCGTACATATATATGTGTGTGTGTGTGTATGTATACACACACACACACACACACATCGCAACCATAGTAAAAAAAGAACTTAATTGTAGGAGAAGGATCTAATGTATTACATATGTACATATGTAATATATTAGTTACATACGCGTATACATGTATATACGAGTCTCTTGTAGCAATTAATCCCTTCTCGGGAAAGCTGCGAGAAGAGAAAAAAGAAAACCGCGTGTCGACTATATATTTCTCGATATAAAGAAGTTCCGCGGGTGATGAATTGAAATGTTGGAACGTTTACATTTATTAGTATTACCGTTAAACCCGTCGCTAATAATATACATATGTAATAAAATTCGCAAAGTTTCCGCAACGGGTTAAAGAAGAAGCGAGAAGAAAGGTACAACGCTCTGATATAAAAAAGATGAAAGTACAAAAGATCGAATAGTAAATATAATTTAATCAGTTTTCGCGATACAAGTACAAAAAGATAAAAATAATTCAACGCAAACGGAATGAATTGTCAATCAATTACAGGCGTGTAGAGTAGCATGCGAATTCCGTAAATGCGTCGGTTAAATGCTCGAACGAACAGTCATGCAACATAGAATAAGAAAATAAAGACGAAGAAAATCAGCGTCGTCATTCCGTTCCCTTGAAGAGAAAAGAATCCTCAAAGGAGACTATTTATTGCACCATTCGCATTAAGGCTGATTCTTCACTATCCGTCTACACGACTCAGACATGAGTCAGTCAATCGTTCTGTCAAAAGATTCCCCAATGTTTTCGCATTGAAATATTCACCGTCACATCTTAATCGTTCTAATTAAAAAAAAAAAAGAGAAAAAAATATTACTGAAATCTAACCGTCTAGACGGATAACGAGAATCAGTCTTTGTATACGTTCCCCTTTCGTTCGATAAGACTAAACAATGATCGAGCACGATCGACGACAAGATCGATCGAATTTCCTCCTCGCAAATTACGCCGTTAATATTCGATCCTGCAGATCTTCCGATCGTGCGACGGGCCGCGGCTACAGCGGCAAGAGTGAACAGTGGTAACGAACTTGGTGAGAGAGCGCTCGCTCGTTCGGCCGATTCTGACGATTTTATCACGCGAGTGTGCGAGTCGCCGGAACTCGCTTCGCACAAAATGACTCGCGTTTTTAGCGAAGAAGGAAAAAAGATGAAAAGGAAATGCAGATTTGGCACAATATCCTAACGCGGGACTCGCGCGCGAGGTCGAACACGCCGTGTCTGTACCACATCTCTACTGAATTCGCATCGGCTGCGATTCTGTTATCTCCCTGCTCACCGATTCAACCGATTTTTGTTTTTTCTCCTTTTTTCTTTTTTTTTTTTTTTAGAATATGAACCTTACACACACATGTATCTGCTACAAACGGAACGCGTGAAACAGTGAAACAGTCTTTGTCGTACACACCAATCGAATCACACGTCTCTGTACAAAGCGCAACAATCTGCTCCGCTTGATCCCCGCTGATCAAATCGCTTCCTTTCAGCTCTCATATCGCCCTGGCCTTGGCTCGACAGTGTATCGCGAGTCTTTTGATCTTCGCTAATTTCAACGGTCCTGCGCACTCTTCTCGTTCGAGTCCGGCAAAAATACAGCTTATTTACAGCTTACGTCGAAGCGTTGTACTTCTTCGTATTCAATCACGTTTAGTAACGTTAACGGGTTCTCTCTTAACAACTCTTATGGCATTTTACAAGCTTTCATCTGCCACGCGCGTGCGCGTTAAAATTACGAACGACTACTACTTTTGTTTCCGTTGGGCTTTCGTGCCGATAGCTAAGAGGATAAATTATAGGTAGAATGCAACATGAGATTCATAATTTTCCGAAAAACAGGCTCTTCAAGCCAGACGTCGATAGCTCCTCCTAGATTTAAAAACGTTGCTTTTAATATCTCGGAAGTTTCAATTTTCACAGCACGGCGACTACTCGAAAAAAATCCCTCTACATTCGTAATTTTCCGGTAGGGGCAGCGGATGAAAGCTTCTCCGAATATGCACGAGGCCAGTTTTGTCCGCACGACCGACACACGTCGCGGCTTCTTCGAGGAAAACGTGGATTGCGTCTAAACCACCTATATACACAACACTGTACATAGTTAATTTAAATCGAGGTGGGACTCAAAGGGGCTCAGCTGAGTGACAATTTGGGCGTCCTCTGAGCACGAATACGACGACCTTCCTCATTACACAACGGCCGAACAGAAAGTCTTACTTACCGTGATTAACGGACGTAGTAGCCGGTCGGAGCGGTTCGGACCTGCTCCTCGGCGAGAAGGCGTTTCCTTTTACTCGATAGGGAAAGTCGCGTGTATGTATATATGTATGTATGTATGTATGTATGTATATGTGTGTCTACCTAGCGATAAACGTTTAGCCGAGTCGCTCCTCGATTAATCGCGGTCAAGCTAGCCGAACAGTTCGATTCACCGATCAGTCGCGCGTCGATGAGCGGAGCTTCGCGCGGTCCTCGTCCTCTTCGTCGTGATGGTCGTCGTTCACATTTCCTCTTCACTCCGTCGGGAGAATTTGAAGATGAAAAGAATCGACCGTTCCGCCGTGTTTAAACGCGGCCAAGATCACAGAACAACTCTAAGGCTCATCGTAGTCGCACCTCGGCCGCGATATATACGCCGGCGCCTACATCGACACTCCGCTCTTCTCTCTCTCTCTCTCTCTCTCTCTCTCTCTCTCTCTCTCTCTCTCTCTCTCTCTCTCTCTCTCTCTCTCTCTCTCTCTCTCTCTCTCTCGCACATCGACACTCGTCGGGTTTACCGCTAAATGCAAGTAGAGTCTGGATGCTGACTGACGGACTTTCTCGTCTTCTTCTGTTCCTTCATTGTCAACTCCTGAGACGGTCTGCGCGGGCTACCGAGCGTGACTAGAGCGGAGGCTACGGCTAGACCAGCACTTTGCCCAGCTGGCGTGTAAGGCTCACCGCCAGTCGGTAATCTGACTAGCAGAGACAGGACCGCCGCTCTGTTACCACAACAGGGCTCCAATGCGATCGGACTAGGAGCAGCCTGTGTACACAGAAAAATACATGTTGCATTTTCAGGTAAATGTTACTTGTTTCAAGCATTTCAGAGGTTTATACGTCCGTAAGTCTATCATAAATTTATCATAAGCACCAAATATAGTCGAAACATATTCTGAATCTTAGTAAGCTCGGCACTTTAATTATAAATATTAAATTAACACAAGAATATTCAGTTATAATAAATTCAGTTTCTTTCTTTACAGAGTATGAATTTTACAATATCTCTCGAAAAGAGAGAATGAATTCTTTCTTTTTCTTTTTAGTATATGATAATGAACTCTTCTAAAATTTGTGATGAATGTATATTTTAAGATTTTTATCAGAAAAGGTTCTGTATTAAAGACAAACATTACTTAAAGAGAAGAAAGCAAATTAGATAATCGTTTTTTTAGCAGTAGAATATTTTTTTCTATGTACTGACAGTGACAGTGTGAGAATGAAAGTTAGTCCATTTCCTTCATGTAAAAATAATCGCGTAAGAAATATTTTTGACTTTCGGATTAAAAGAAACGATTGTATTTTCATGCCGTTATAATTTTATGAAACGATATAAAGTGAATGTTTCAATTATAGTGACAATGTCTCAATTTGAGAAAATTTACACCCATTTTCTTCCTCAGAAGAAGAATAAACTAATATGAATTCATATTTACTCTACACGTATGTTTTTATCTAAAATTTTGTACATTATAACAAATTTCGAATAAAATTCGAAGGAAAAAAAGCCATGATAAATTCTAGAATACCATAATTAGAAGCATAATTATTTTCTCACTAATTAAGCATTCACCTTGTGCGCATTTTTTATCTATGGAACTTCTGCCAACCTTCGCCCCATTATTTCATAAAATTATATACAACATATGATTGTTACACCTTGTCTGAAAAATTCGGAATGACTTATCACACAACCCAATATATCGCCAAGATTAAGCTTTACCTTCTTCTTCTTACGGCAATTAATCAAATCAGCATCACCGCATTCCGAGTCTGAACTCTCGATGTCGCGCCTCTCGATCTCTACGAGAACTTGACTGAACGCCCTGCTGGCCATCTGCTCCATCTCTAGGAAGAGTCGTTGTCTTCTCCGATACATGTCGTACTTCTGCTTAATCTTCCAGAGAATGGCAGCTACCAGCAGCAGAGCGAGGAAGCACCTGTGCGGTGTCATGTAATCTCTAGTTTACAAGTAAGTACTGGTTGAGGTTCTGCACAACGGAGGAGGCATGAAGAATTTCGGAAACAAATAAAGCGTATGGCCAATAGTCCCGTTACTTCTCAAGAGTCTCTCACTTTTTTCTTTCTGCCATATTGCTCTCGGCAGAGTATCTAGCTGATTACACTCAAGATATAACGCACTATTAACCCGCGCTTTATTTCGGATCAGCCCAAATGTTCAACCGACGAAGTGTACTCACGTGCAGAATGTAATGAAAAACTGCTGCAGATTCAGCTTGGAATATTGCGAGAACGAGATCTGGATCCACAGCGGCGGCTGGAAGTCATACATGTACACGTAGAACGTGGTGAGGGTATTGTTATCCTCGCCGCCGAAGTTGTAATCCGCCTTGCTGAAGCGGTGCTTGTACATAGTCGTCGTGCAGTTTGCCCCTAACAGCACCGGCTTCTCCGGGCTGTTCACCTTCTTGATGGTGACGTTCATCTTGGCGAGCACGGAGCACGTGATGGAGAACTCGGCGTCGATGTCGGCCTTTGGCGGTGAGTTCTTGAAGTTGATCGCCCGATAGTGGCGATCCTCCTTCTTGCTCAGATTGAACGTGAACTGATAATCAATGGCCAAGTCATCTGAAACGAGGTTAATAACGATGCTACACCAAACGAAACGGAGAATCGCACGACAGACATATTTCAACAATCGACTTACAAAAACAAGATCCTTTGTTCGTAGGATCACCGTGATAAAGACCGGACACGTCGCAACGCTCGCAATGGTCGCCGATAATGCCCTTGGTCGTGCAGAAACACTTGCCCGTTTCGCTCGTGCACTGCGTGCCTTGATTGTTGCAGGAGCAAGCTGTAATCGCACGCAAGCGTCATTCGATCGTCTCTATCTCTCTCTCTCTCTCTCTTTCTTTCCCTATCTATCTCTACAACTACACACTCAACTCTAAAACTCCCTCTAAAACTTAGAACAATCAGTGCTCTGAGTCAATTCAAACAAGAATTATATTTTACATTTGCACCCCCTCTCTCCCCCCCCCCATATCGACGAATTAATCAGATATAATTAACTAGTTACAATCAAGAAGTTAGTAATAAAAGGCTTACAAGATCTAAGCGCAGAGTCAAAGTGCGTAATAAATATTTTGTCTATTTTAATAAAACACAAATATAGATACTACAAAGTAAATTAACAAACGTTTCGATTATAACGTTAGACTTTTTTCTACACCCGTTATATACGTCTATTTATAATTATTGTATGTATCTAATTTACATCTATTGTTCGTTACAAATAATGATACTCGCGATATGTATGACAAAAGAGGAGAATTACGTACGCTGACAAGTCGCTCCGTTAAGTGGACTACCATAATAACCGGGAATACACTTGTCGCAGTGTGGCCCGTAGGTCAAATTGCCGCACGGCTGAATGCATACGCTGCTGTTTGGAAGACACTTGCTGTGACCGTTGCATTGGCAAGCTGCGGGGATCAAGGAGCGACACGCAAGAAGAGAATTAATATTCAGCGGCATTGCACACGCGACGACGACAACGGCGTGAGATATTCACGGGAAAGGCGCGATTGGCACGGAACGTTCGCTTACTCGGACAATTCGTGAAGTACCAATTATCTCTCGGGCACGTGTTGAGACTCCTGCTGCTGGGGCCGCCGGCTCCGCCAGGTAGGCACAGTCCTTTGCCGGTCTCGGAGCCGTCGTCGCACCAGCCGCAGCCGGGGTCCGCTCGACAAGTAGAACACGACGAATAGAAGCTGCACCATTCCCTGCCGGTCTCCGTGGCGCGACATCGGGCATCTATCGTGGTCCACTCGCGACATTGTCCGTACGGGAAGCTGGCCGGATATGCATTCTTGTCCACGCACTTGGCTTCGTTCTGGCACCAGATGCAATCAGACTCGGTGCAATTTCGACACGACGTGTACTCCACGCACGGACTACGGCATCTCTCCATGGTCAGTCGTTGCGCCAGGATCGTGCCGTTCAACACGCTCACCTGTTTCGGAGACACATGGAAGGGATTAAATACGCCGGCCGATTGTTCTGTTAATTGCTCGCAAGCCGAGATCGCGTCGAGCGAATGAAGCGGGTATCAAGTGCGTTTTAAAGCAAATGTTGCGAATTGCAATCAAGGCGAATGTCCCGATTTACGACAAGTGCATCCGTTGAAAAAAAAAAAAAGACCCCGTATTACTCTTCGAATGACCCACTATGTAAGAGCAAATAACAGACGCTACGAACGCTTCGTTGCGTATTCGCACGATGTACCTCTCGAGTCTTCGACTGCGGCTTGCAACGGTCAGGCCCGTTGGACCATGACCATATACAACGCGGATTGCTAGAACAGGCATGACATGTGTGCAGTTGTAGGCACTCGATGCCGGTGTTCGCATCGCATTGGTCCAGATCCTTGATGACGAGTCGTGAAGCCGGTGCGTTGGGATGATCCCGGCATTTCTCGTGTGAGCAGCTCTTGCCGCACCATACGCAGTTATATGAGGTCTGCACGCAGGCGACGCAGTCTGTGAAAAGCTTGCAGAGCTCCTCATGAGACGTCATGCCACGTGGAGGCATCTCGTCCAGACATCTCATGTAAACGCCGTCGTGATCGTCGTACTCTTTATGATTGAGCACATGCTGCGGTATCTTCGTGATCTGCAAGCAACGACCGTCCCGCTTGTGCCACACGCATTTCACACCTATCCGGGCATTCAGGCACTGATACTGGTTCGTGATATGCTCGCAGTTACCCGGTGTATACCTACGCAAGGACAGAACATCTTATGTGTATTGCTATTGTATAAAAGCATCAGCCGTTCTTTAGCGTGAGATCAGATCATGCAATGATTAATAGAGATAAAGAAGGAAACGACGAAGAATCTGAAGCCGTAAGAGAAGGCAACAGCGACAAGTCTCTTTAAAGCAGTCGTCATACGTGCCTTGACATTTATCTATTATTATTAAAACGTCATTTCGTTCAGCGCTCTCAATAGGACAGATTTCTTCACAAGCGTGAATCAATGTAATTATCATCCAGTGTGGTTTCTACCTACGTGTGATTTTCAACCTTACGCATTAGATGTGAAATTAACATTAGAAATACCGAAGCGGTCAAAAAAAGAAAAAGAATGCTGGGCGCGATAATTTGACAAATTATTTAATTAATAATTTACCGATGATCTAGTTATTTGGTTAGCTTAGTAGGTCACTTAACCGTGTGATAAATAATGTATAGTTAATGTTAAGGCACATACAACGTCCGGTGAATACCAAAGTAAATCGTACCTCAGCATATCAGACAGCATTTCGCCGTTGAAGCCGCCGAAGATATACATCGATTTCTCGAAGACGGTCGCACTATGGCCGTAGCGCGGCAGATCATTCATGTCTCTGGGCATGGTGTACTGATGCCAAGCATCGCACGTGACGTCATAACCCAACGTATCGGACGAATAGCATCGTGCACCATGCGAGTGATGCGTGTCGTTGTGCATGTTGCCGCCGAACACCAGCATGAGTCCACCGGAAACGAAGGCGGCAGTATGGAAGAACCGCGCCGACGGCGCCGACGTGAGCAACCGCCACTCGTGGAAATTCGGATGGTAAGAGTACAGCCGGCTGGTCAGCACCTGCGTGCTCTGCGACTCCGATACGTAGCCGCCGTACACGTATATGAGATTCGTGAGAGGATCGTATGCGGCGCTGTGCCCATAGCCACCCTTCACCGGAAAGCCGGTCGTTTTAACGATCTGCCACTCCCGCGTACCCAAGTAGTACTCTTGGACGGTGTTTAAGTAACCATACTGGGGCGAATAGCCGAATATCACAACCATCTTCTCCTTCTTGCCATGATTCTGCACGAGAGTCGCGGTGTGCCCGGCTACCTGTGTAAAAACGACTCGTTGAGATCCGAGATAGCCGGAAACTCGAGAAGCGAGCATATCGACGTATTCACGTGATCATTATTCAGAACATCAGAGAAACTGTATTAAATTTTCCAGCGATTAACTCTTTAATCACGATTATGGCATGCAAGATCACGACTATTTCTACATATCGTCTTTTTTAGAGATTTAAATTGTGAAATCTTGTACTAAAATGTAGAATTGTATCTAATCGAAAAGAGTGAAAATCAAGTTTATAGAAGCTCCAGCACAGGATGTTGGTTGTGGAAAGTTTGATTTATTTTAGTGTCTTGTTTAAAAATTACCCAATTAATTTACTAATTCATTCGAACATCTACAGACTTGATTTTAATCTTGTCACTATACATCAAAGCTATACATTTTCTCACTCTTTAAACTGATATTTTGCGAGATAACGTAATCCTACAGCTGAGCTGTCAGATTACCTTCAGAGGGCCGCATATCGTCTTGTTGTGGCAGTTGTCGTGCACGGTGACATTCTCCCAGACCTTCGCGGACACGTCGAACGCCCAGATTTCATTAGTCACAGTAGAGTTCTGCACGACACCGCCGTACATGAATATCTTGTCGCCGAAAAGCACGCACGAGTGCGCATAACGCGGCAACGGCACTTTACCCTCCACGTGAGGCGTCTCCCAGACGTTGCCGTTGTAATCATAAACATAGATCATCTTGGCACGATGAAAACTCTCGCCGCCGACCACATACAGCGAGTCCTTCCAGACGATGGAACAGTGACTGGACGAGCCATCCGGCAGGTCCTTATACATAATATTCTCCCAAAATCCACGATCGCCCTTTTGACTGCAATCCGCACCTACAAACAAATCAAGAGCTGAACTGAGTAATTTGTTTCGTTTCACTTCACTTCGATTGAATCTATTTTAAACGAACTGTACTCATAAACTCTCAGATATTATCAGACCGCTAAGGTGAACGTCTTAATTAATGAATGTCCTAATTTGTGACAATTGCATTTATTTTCTCAATAAATCATTATATCATTGAGACATTCACCTCATTTTTCTGCAAGAAATTATTATTTGCTACCAACATCCTTGTGACCTCATTGGTCAAAATTAATTGGAACGTTTAAATCTATTTTACGTATTTTAATGCGGTTTCAATCGGGGGTTGCATTCGTTTCTCTTTCATATCGTGCGCGATCGTCGATTCGATAATGCAGAATTCACAGTGTGAAATTTAAAAATATTAGGAATTGGTCTCTTGAGAAATCATCGCCGAGAGAAACCTCGTTGTCAATCCAGACGTATCCCGAGATGCGAATAAATCGAATACGGCCTATTTTCCACGCGAAACTCGTTAAACGAGTGTGAACGATGCGATGTTAAGGCGTTGCAATTATGATTGTTACGTAGATACGTAGCGGTAATGTTAAATTTGATACACGATATCCATCCGCGATCATATAATACTGTATTAATACTATATCAATACTATACTAATGGGCGCATCGAATTACCGAAAATACAAGTCTCGTACATTTACAAATTTGCTAGAGAGCGCGCGGATATATTATTCATAAATTATAACACACGCGTGACTAAAAATCTACGCTAAAAAATTGGTCATCTTTCGGAATAACTCATATCGGCACCGGCATATCTGGCCACGTAAAATGAAAAATAAAATGTTAAATTATTATAAAATAATTTCTGCGTTCAAAGTGTAAAATCTCACCGAGAGACAGAGACAGAGACAGAGACAGAGACAGAGACAGAGACAGAGACAGAGACAGAGACAGAGACAGAGACAGAGACAGAGACAGAGACAGAGACAGAGACAGAGACAGAGACAGAGACAGAGACAGAGACAGAGACAGAGACAGAGACAGAGACAGAGACAGAGACAGAGACAGAGACAGAGACAGAGACAGAGACAGAGACAGAGACAGAGACAGAGACAGAGACAGAGAGAGAGAGAGAGAGAGAGAGAGAGAGAGAGAGAGAGAGAGAGAGAGAGAGAGAGAGAGAGAGAGAGAGAGAGAGAGAGAGAGAGAGAGAGAGAGAGAGAGAGAGAGGGTCGGTTGGTACTATATACGGAGAAGAATGTTTGAATAAAACAATTTTTTGCTGAAATGTCAATGATTTAGAAATTCCGATTAGTTACCAGAGCTCAGTCTGAGTTATCAAAGTTAACTTAGATAGAATCCTGGAATCTCTCGGAATCGCTCATATTTCACCAGAAAATTGACTCGTTCAAGCAAACATTTTTCTCTGTGTAGAGCTACGAAAGCGAGCGATGGAAAAAAAATGATCGGTTGCTAATCTCTCATCACACGCAGATTCGTCTCCGTGAAACGCGAGCGATCCGAACAAGGCGGATTGCGCGATATCCATCGTGACAAAAAAAAACGCGACTCACCTTTGTACCCGTTGAAGCAGTTGCAGTGATGACTCTCGCGATCGCACTCGCCCTGGCCGTGGTAGTACGAACAATTGTTGGGACATACCTGGATGTCGCAGGCCTCACCGGTCCACGTGGCGTCGCAGGTGCATGTGCCTTCTATGCAGACGCCGTTTCCGGAACAGTCGATGTGGGAGTACCTGGGGACGTGAAACAACACGGGGTTTGTGTATACACGAGATACGTTGAATCAATCTTGACTTTCGAAGCGGTGGCAGCGGCGCGATGCCACGCGATCGCGATCGTCTAACGCCGGCAATGAGTAAACATACACACTCGCGCGCTATTTGCTCGTTCACCGTGAACACTATGTCAATATTTCTCCTATTGAGAAAGAAGGACTGCCGATAATAACCGCGATACGTTTTGATTACGCTCAGTATCTGAGGAACGGAAGTTCGAGTCGCGAGAGGCAGCCTGTGCGAGTGGATCCGGACGCGAAGATATCGCGAGAGTTTCTCCTCCATTTAGAGACAACATTTCTAAGTCATAATTAATACTTATTCGATGACCACACTAGTATTCGTTTTAATCAATGTTCTTTGATTTTAAGTGAAACGAACAGCAGCCATCTTTATATGCGAATTTATGCTTTTAAGAAAATGTATATTTCCTCGTTTGAAAAGAATGTGTGTTCCCAGTGTGAAAATATTATTATGGAATATTTGAAGCAAGTAATATTTACTCGAATGCAGTTTTCCGCACATCGAGTAAATGTTTTCCTACTCTTCAGATATCTGTCCCCAGAATGCAAATTTCATGAAAAGCTGAATAGAGGTCCTCTTAGCCGCGAGTCGCGGGGGGACACGAGTTGTACTTCCCCGTCAGCGTGTATTCCGAAATGCTACGCTCCCTCCGAGCTCGGACTCGGACGTCTTTCTCGCACGAGGGGCTGAGTCCCCCGATTCTGATCACAGGTGACGTTATCAAACGTGACACAGATAGAGCTAAGTACTTCCTGCGCGCAGTGGAAGCTCGATAAAGTTCCTAAGCCGGGAGCGACCCAATTACGAGTCATTGACGGTTGTGTACCGCGTAATCTACGCGTTATTACGCGCTCTTCAGGTTGACGTCCACCTGACCGCGGAGAAACCGCCGAGATCTCGTGCCGAGGTCTCGCCTTCCCCTTTCGAGTGAGTTATTCCCCCCCCCCCCGAGGTTGCGTTATCACTCGCGGCGTGTCCACCGCAGGATATACTTGACTTACATTCGGCACGGTCTCGTTCGTAAAATACCCGCACGAAATCCCATACAGGGGGCTAACGCGAGCTAGAGCCGGCCACGTGTTCTCTCTACTCGCGATGCTGCCGCGACAGTCGTAGCCGTTCGCGACACTTTTAAGGTCACAGCCGATGTCACGGTCCATCAAGCCGCGCCGTTAATATGGATAATTCCGCAAAACATCCGGCGCACCGCTTTTTCCCCATCTCGCGAGAGTGTCGCGCACATTCCCGGCACAAAGGTACCAGCCGCGCGTGACGCTACGGTTATTTATCTACACTGCACCTTCGCATACGCCGGATTAAAATATCCTCAGGTTCATACGCGACACGCTGCGCCACTGTTACCGCTGTTTTACGTAACGCCGCGAAAGAAGTCGCGCGCGCGCTCGCCGGCTCGCTGCGAATCCTATTCACGGCGAATCCTGTAGCGCGGCGAGGACACGGCCCTATATTATTTCAGCGATTCGGCGGAGGCGATCGATCGCGATCGAAAATGATACCTTCGAGCGCGCTCGACGAAAATCGGAGAAAGAAAGAAAGAGAAGAAGAGAGAGAGAGAGAGAGGAGAGAGAGAGAGAGAGGCAGAAGGAGAGGCCGAGCACGGCCTCAGCCTGGCGTACTCACCTGCTCGGGCAAGCATTGATTTTATACGTAATGTTGAAGCCGCTCATGTTGTACGCGACGTCGGAGTAAAAGTGCAGCAGCGCGCTGCCGGATCGCGCTATTACTTCCGGCACACGGCGTATGTGATAGCCGTCCTTGTGCATCAACCCGGAAAACACAGCCAGCAACGGCGCCTCGATGCTGTCACCGTCGTAGATGTACAGATGGTCCCAGCCGCATTCCGTCGCGAACTGCTCCACGTGCATGCGTATCTTGGACTTGGACTCGCTGCTGATCAGCCAGGAGCACTTCACGTCCGCCGTGTAGTTGCCGAAGCCGTCGTGGATGTTCCCGCTATTCCCCAATAATCTGCCGGCAGGACAAAAGGTGTCTCGCTTTAGTCGTCAGCGCCGACTTAATCCGGTAACTTCGACCCGGTAAAGTCGAGCACGACCCCGCTCGACGACGGCGACCACAACAGTCGCATCCGGCTCGGACTTTATCATATTCTCAGGATGCTGTATCTCGTGTATACAACGTCCTTGGAGTGTCGTATCAAGAGAGTGAGAGAGAGAGAGAGAGAGAGACGTGGAAACGACCGTAAAAATAAATTAGCGGAATAATACGCGGATGCAATTGACGTGAAACTTAATAACACGTGCACGCAGAGAGGAGAGGGGAGAGGAGGAGAAAGGAGAAGGAGGACAGGGAGAGAGAGAGAGAGGGAGAAGAGACAAAGAGAGGAGGAGGTGCGTTTTTGCGATAAATTTCTGCGATGAGATTAATCGCGGTTGCAGGAACCAGTTAGTCAAGAGAATTTCCTCGTGTCTGTTTTTACGAGTCTAACATGCGACGAATTGAACGCCTGTTGCGTCCCGCGATTACGCTCCCCCCTTTCTCTCTCTCTCTCTCTCTCTCTCTCTCTCTCTCTCTCTCTCTCTCTCTCTCTCCCTTTCTCTCTCTCTCTCTCTCTTACCATTGACTCGTGATTTCGGCGCCGCGCCACCGGGAAGTCGCGTGCGATTGAAACCGCCATTAATTCCATTAATGACACTTTCAGGCGTGAACGACTGAGCTTAATTACGGCCCGCGTCCGAACAATCGCTCGCGCTTGCGCGCCTGCAATGTACATACACATAGTTGCATTAATACGCACACACCTCGGGGGGATCCATCAGATGCATGAGTGACACGGAAGAGCGAGAGATCAACGGGTCTCGTCGGCGAGACGAGAAGGAGAGAGAGAGAGAGAGAGAGAGAGAGAGAGAGAGAGAGAGAGAGAGAGAGAGAGAGAGAGAGAGAGAGAGAGAGAGAGTTAGCCACATGGCTAACATCCTTAATCGCTTCCTATTTTTTTCAATGACCGCTCGCAAGCCGATAATAACGGCGCGCATGGAGGTGCGAGGCAGGCCGGAAGCCGACGGAATGGAAAACGCTCGGCGTCCTTGGCGGATCCCGACACGAGGCGGATAACCGAGAGAAAGTGCAGTGCTGCATCTTAACGCAAGCAACGGAGCGACCAGCCCAGCCAGCCAGCCGAGTCAGCGAGCCACCTGCATTTCCGCGACGACCGCGAGGACGCGCCGGGAAAGGGCGTGACGTCGTCAGTGTGCGCCTCGAAGACGCCTCGACGTGCTTGCTCGACGTGGCGATTCGATTGTCGATTGGTCGATCCGGAATACCCGAGGCGGCGCAACACGACGAAAGTGTCAAAATGTCAAAGGATTACACCAAGATAAGAAGGCGGTTTCGATGACACATTCGCAAGCGCCTCGTTGGAATAAAAAGAAGAGCCGCGTCGTCGATAACGCGTGTCCTTCCTTTCTGTTTTTTTATCAGAAAGATATGAGGTGCGATGTTGAGGACGGGCATTCGAGCGCGCTGTTGAAGCGCCAATATCATCGCGAGTGCCGGGGGATCTGAACAAAAGGAACGCGACTGTGCGAGGAGGATGTAAGAAAACAGAGAGAGAGAAAGAGAGAGAGAGAGAGAGAGAGAGAGAGAGAGAGAGAGAGAGAGAGAGAGAGAGAGAGAAGAGAGAGAGAGAGAGAGAGAGAGAGAGAGAGAGAGCGAGAGAGAGACAACGCGTTCGTTGGAAAAAATATCGATACGTCGCGGGATAACAACGACGACGACGACGACGACGACGACGACGACGACGACGACGACGACGACGACGACACGCGCGCGCGGAACATCTGCGCTTTAATAGCGCGCGCAAGCGTCTCTCTCAGCGCGGCGATCAACAGTGCGAACGACAAGGACGGAACACATCGGCGACGATGTACCGTCGGGGAACAACGATACGCCGTGTAAAAAGAGCGGCTTCTCGCGGAGGCGCGTCCGTTATTGTGAATTGACACGCGCCGCGTGATAACGCGCCGATACTACGAAGTATTACGGGGCCGCCGCTGTCGCGTATTTACGTTGCACAACGATGCAACGTGATAACATTATATGCGCGATTCTCACCATTAGCCGCGAACCTGTCCGCCGATTATCTTATCACAAACAATTTCGCATTACGTAAATATGCCTTTTGCGCGATGTCGTTGTCGCCCTTTGCCGTCGTCCGTCCCTCCGCGCGCGCGCGCGCGCGGGGCCGGGACGATTAAATCAAGGGAAACAATGGCGCGGCTCAAAAGTGCCCCCGAATTGTCGCAGAGTAGCCCGCACAGAGGTTTGTTCGAATTTTCCCAGATATACGTAGCATAGACTCCGAATAGTATCCCTGAATTTGCCCCGGAATTGATTACCCGACTGCGACCCCATTCTTATCCCAAACATGGCTTCTCTACCTAGAACCGAAACAGAATAGTACTACGAGAAGTCGCTCGCTTTCCTCCAGTCGTAACGCCTTTATAGTAACGGGCGGGGAATTCGATTTTCCAACCATCCAGCCGTCGTACGCAATGGAATAAAAACATCCAAAAGATAACGTTTTAATCTGAAACGGAGAAAGACCGGAGAAGATATCGGAAAAATCTGGAGTCTCCCACTTAGAAGTACGCACTTGGAGAATCGCGGATTTGCGACATTGCACACTTCCTGCAACTTGGATCCGCGTGAACTCGGGCGAATCCCGGGAAATGTTCTACGCGCGGAATTTCGGCGATGCAATCTCACGGGGGATAACACGGGGACGTGCGGGACACGCTCGCTGGCGAATAATCATTTTCATGTCGCAGGAGCTTTCGTCCGCGCCCCGAGACCGAGGCCCCGATACGGAAACTTAGAAACGAGGACGCGCCGCGCCGGCGTTTGCATCGACTATATAGGATATTTCCACGATAAAGTGATAAATATACGAAGGATGCGCCGGACGGAAAAGCGACTCGAGCAGGAGACAGGGGGATTTCAGCGCATTCGCGTATTTTTACGAGCCATTATCTATCGTCGTTTTACGCGCGTCCTGTCAACGGGATAATTCACTACACCGTGAACGACCGTTCGACATTTACGCAAGATGTTTACCGATGAGCGGTCGCCGCCGCCGCCGCCGTGCCCGTCTCTCCCTCTTCAATCGGGAACGATTGAAATACAGCGCAATTAATCTCTTAATTTCGACAGGCATGGCGCAGGAAACTGCGGAACGTCGTCTCGTTAGTCCGGTCGCCCGGCGATTAGAACTTTCAAGTAACGGCAAACGCATAAACTTAGCGGATACGGTGAGAGAGAGAGAGAGAGAGAGAGAGAGAAGCAGACAGATAGAGAGAGACGGAGAGGATTGCGCAGCGCGTATTACAGCAGGTCGCAACTGCGTTGCGCTTGCAACACTCGCGTTGCAGCAGCAGCGATCGTTTGGAAACGTAAGCCGAAAGCCGGCAGGGAAATTAGCGTGTCGTGCGACGACCTGGGCACGCGAACGCGAACTTAAAGCTCGAAAGCTACGGCGGCGGTAGTGCGGCCGGTGCGCCTCGCCGGTAAATGATAGTCCGGGTAACCGCGCGGTTGATTAATCGGCAGGCTGAGAGACGCGCTTACAGACGTTAGACAGTTCTAGGCGCCCGCGAAATGATATATTTCAGATGCTTATCGAGTGTCAGCGGTTCGGTGATCGTCGGCATGATGCACGATCGCGCGAAATTACACGTTTCCCAAGCGCGCACCCGCCTTTCTCTCCCCCTCCGCCCCGTCGCGCTGTGAGGTACACAGAGAAAAATATTATTCTACCGTTGGGAGAAAAGCGGTTCATTTCACCGCTTTCGAGAAGGATTACCTTCAACGGCGAATATTTTCTCGATAATAGGCTCTTGAAAACATACTCATCGCGTACTTGCGATAAGCTCATTATCGTGCACTCTCTCGAGAGGAGAATTTATTCTCTTTTCGAGACCTTTTTTACTGTGAAACTTGTGTGTTTTGACTCAACATTCGTTTTTTTTTTCTTTTATTTAATATTCTTGCGAGCTTCCCAAGAGAGTATCGAAGTACTGAACTTAGGACTCGGAATATGTTTGAAGCATATATCTCGCGCTTCGGGCGAACATGCGCGGCAGATTTGCGGGTACATAAATTTAAGAAGTGCTCGGAACGAGCAGCGTTTTGTTGAATGTAGTGTATATCTTTCTGCGTACAGTCGGCAACTTCGGACAACAATCGGTCGTTATCGTCACATTGTCGTTGCGTGCTTTTAGCAAATAATATGCGCGCTTTTTTTAGCAAATAATACGCGCGCTTTTTTTTAGCAAATAATATGTCTGCGTAATGACAACAATAGAACGATAACGACACTCGCGTTACAAAACGGGCCTACTGATCTTCGGTAAAACGCGAGGGCCTCCTTAGTCGTTGCATCGTCATCCTTCATGGACACGCGGAATCGCGTTTCTTCGTGAATCGACTAGACGGATGAGTCACGGGCATCAAGTTCGACGACCGACCGGTTATATGCTCGTTTCTTTATCCGAAGCCGAACGATACGCGACGCACGCAGACGATCGACGCGATCTCAACGATTTCAACGATGCGCATAGTCTCGCAACAGCGAATCCGGCTGAATCCGCTGCGTCCTCGGGAATATCTCGCAATTATGTAATTGCAAAATTGATATCAACAACTCGTTATCTCCGGCGCGGAGAGTTGGTAATCGATGTTAAATCTCGAGCACTCGTGCGCAAAACATCGTCGCGAGCTCTCACACGTGCGATACCATGCATGATATTACATTATTATAATTATGAAAGTAGACACGAAAACATTAAAACATAATAAAAAGAGGAACTATAGGAGAGGAGAAATCTGATGCGACGCGACGAGTTCTGTCTCTCTCCCTCTCCCTCTCCCTCTCCCCCTCTCTCTCTCTCTCTCTCTCTCTCTCTCTCTCTCTCTCTCTCTCTCTCTCTCTCTCTCTCTCTCTCTCTCTCTCT